GTATGAGGGGGAAGAGGCCAGGGGAAGTGTAGACTAAGAATTCTTACAGAGTGCCTCACCCTGGAGCTGTCATGTAATCATTGTGAAAGAATCTGTCCTTTAAAGTTCCTTTCTGGTTGTACCTCAGCTAAGGGCTTTTAGGGTATGAGCATGAGCTGCTGCGCAGCACATACCGAGATAGATACCTGTGCTGGCTTCAGACAAATTGTTAAGTTCTGTGTGGTATGCTACTTGAGTCCTGGAAATTCCATGACTGCATCAGCAGGATGGAGCACCTTTCAGATGAGGCTGCATTACGTCTTTTTTGGGACTGGCTTAGTTGACTTAGCTTGGATATCTTTACACAGCTCTGCATTGTGTTATGAAAACTATCCTGTTTTCCCAGGGTAGTTTTCAGCCTGATTCAATGGAATTTAAAAAGTCTAGACCCATGGCTGTCTCCTTGGAGGTTACTACTTGTCCTTGGTGTGAATCCGTTTGTGGTCTGACTTGCAAGTCACACTTGTGTGCAGAAAGAAGTAAAGGCACCAAAGCTGCACTAGGTCCCAGAAGCCCTTGGTGTGATTGGAGCAGTGAGCCTATACAGGGCAAGGTGAAACGGTCCTGCCCAACATAACACTCCTTGTTCTGTCCTTGGGTTGTTGACTTCCTCTCCCATGATACAGGGATGTTGTCCTCCAGTTGGAGCCACTGTCAAAGCAACTTTTGTTTATACCTTGTCTTAATAAGATTAGAGACATGTGACTAATTCATGTAGCCAAGCACCTTGGCTAAAGAGTGGAACTTGTTGCTATAGGAAATCATTAAGGCTAAGAACTTGAAAGCTTGAAAAAGGGATTAGATAGCCACATAGCTACTGAGAATAATTGACAGACTTCAAAATGGATATTAAACTTGACTGGACTAGCCACAGGCATGCCTAAGTGGGATTCCTGGCTGTGGTACACAAGTGGGACTCAGTCACCTGATGGTTGCATCTTGCTTTAAACTGACCCTTTTGTTTCACAACTCAAACTACTTTCTAATTGCAGACGCTAGAATGATGGGGGGATAGGGCAGCTTATTCTGTATTGCTGCAAAGAGTTCTGATGGAGAGGGGCTGCCCTACTGGCCTTTGGTTCTGATCTAATTTGGCAATTCTTGTATTCCTGTACTTGGCTGCAGTGAAGATTTTCACAAGAGGCTCCAAGGCAGTTGTATGCAAACCTTTGACCATCCTGCTTCATTAGAGCTTGGTGAAACTGGCAGAGTATTGGCTTCTCGAAGGAGTGGCTACCGAAGAACTAAGAAGCCTAGAGGTGGAGCGTGAGGGCATCTGCTTTGTGGCAGGATCTTGGAACTGCCTAAGAGTAGTGTTACCCAACAGTGGAGCCTTCTGGGCTCTGGGCAGTTCAGTACTTCAGTCCCTGAAGAGAGCAAACTGGGAAGGGAAGCCACACGAGTGGGGGAGGTGATCTTGTGAAGGTTGAAGAGAGAGGTTGACTTGGGCTAGTTTCCCTCTTTCTCAGTTCTAAGATGCAACTGAGTTTCTAGATTCATCAGCTTCAGGTCTAGAGGGGGAGGTCCCCAAAATGAAAGCCTAGTATGACAAAGATGCCAGGCAAGGTGACAGCAGATCTGCTTGCCTTTTAGTCCTAGATGTGCCATGTCTTCCTGGCATATTGATTAGAAAAAGATAGCAGACTTTTTTCATCACCTTCCCTTTTAAATGAAATGGATATACTATTATCAGGGTTTCTTCCATTAACTAGATACAGCGAGAGCTGCAGCCTGGTAATGTTACTCAGCAGTGCTCTGCTTGAAGCCACTGTGCATATATTTGTACGCACAGGAAATTGGAGCTCACCAGCTGTTTCTTAGGGTATCTACAGTCCTGTATCTTTCTCATCCGCAAGTGTCTGGGGATAAATCCCACAATGCCCTATTGTGGTCAACTCAGTGTTTCTTTAAAACTCATTCTCAAAAAGGAATGACTTAAGTTGCTGGTTCTGTCTGCTGCTTTTTAGTCTCTACACATTATTGATTCTTAGACTGTAGTTCATGAAGTCTTAGCAAATTAAGAGAATTGGAGAGAGAGTGTTCTACACTTGGTCTCTGGATGGCTTCTTCCAGGCTCATATATTCAGTTGCCTTTTTTTTGCAGGTGGCCCCTGATTCTCTCACTCTCTTCAGCCTTGTATTCCTGAACTGCCTTTGTCATCTTCCACCTAGTCTGACTCAGTAGCACAAATTGTGCTCGCTTCTGTCCTCAAGCTTTCTCTTCTCATTCTGTTTTCCATGCCCAAGACCAGGGTATCCATGTTTGGCTTCTCATCCCTTACGGCTGTCAGTAAATCCAGCCGTAATGTTCCTCATGAAGTGCATCCTTTGCCATAGCTGAAACTTTGCCTATGCCTTAGACATCTTGTCCCATTCACATGTGAAAATTATCTTCCTTACCAGTGGTTGAACCCCAATGCTAGTTTCCTTTCGCTGTCCACATCAAGCTCAGGCTCCTCATCCTCTTTTTCAGTGCCCTGCACTGTCCTGCCCCACCAATGTTCCTTCAGACTCTCCAGACATTACATAGTAGCATCTAACTGCTCTTCATGTCTCCTTCTGCGCTGGCCCCTAGCTTCTGGTATTCCCTCTTGCACTGTGCACATTCTCCCTTGAAACAGCCCTGTCACGAGGCTCGTCAACCCTAGTCTGCCACAGAACTGCGCTGCTGCTTTTCAAAGCATTGGAAGGAAAAACAAAGTTCTGCCTCCTCCCAGCTCCAGTGCTGTTGCAGGGTACAGGAAATACCTCTTCCAAATGGTCTGTCCTTGCGCGGGCACCAGACCAGGCCTTTGTCTAGGTTTCAGAGTGGGAAGACTCAGCAGTATGTGGGTTGATCCCTTTGTTGGGAATAGCTCTCGGCTGCTCATGCCTGACTGCCTGCATGCTGGTTAGTGTTCCTGTTGGCAGTAAGGCACTGTAGTACTTGACAATAAGTTGGTAGGGTGGCTCTGCCCTGGCTGAGCTTGCCTCTGGCTGACTCATTTGTACACACCCTTACAGTGTTGTGTGGTCTTGTGCCAGGTCTTGAATTAACTTTCTAAAAACAGTTTAGTATGATTGGAATGTGTTTGATTGCCATGACATGGGTCAAGAGATGCTGGTGTAGATCCTGGCCCTGCTACTGACTTGCACAGACCTTTGCTATTTAAAATGGGGAAGACACTAGCCCACTTCTATAAAGCATTTTGAAATACTGGATGGAGCAGTCTCTAAGCTTATGAAGTGGTTGCTCTTGAAATACAGTCCATACTGACATACCTCTCTCTTCTTTTGCAGTTGGAGTGCCTCAAGCTTATTGCCTCTCAGAAATTCACAGATAAGCGCATCGGGTACTTGGGTGCCATGCTACTGCTGGATGAGAGACAGGATGTACACCTTCTTATGACCAACTGCATCAAGAAGTAAGGCTGCCCTTTGCTTCCCCACTGCAGGTGCACGGAGGCATTCCAGCACCATAGCAATTCCTGGCAGCAATTTCTGGGATGTCTGTTTTCTAATGGCTTTTAGCAAAAAATGGGTGTCTTCAGTCTGGGAACTCCTATTTCATTGACTGTGTCAGGCCACTGTTGTGTTCTCTTCTGTATTGGGGGCTGCTCAGCTCCTTTAGAAGGAGGAGGCTGCTACAAATTGCTTTGATCCTGCAGGGTTCCAGTTGTGGTTTGTATGGCGCGTACCCTTTGCATGGACCTTCCCTGTTCCTTGGACAGTCACTTTTTTTGCTGATGTTGCATAACTGAGAATAGGAACATCTTGCTTCTAAAGCTTTCCCTAAGGAAGCTGAAAGGGCTGAAATTGGCTTCATACTGCTGGCAGAACAGCTTCTGGAAGCACTGGGAGAATGGTTACCTTGCAACAAACAAGCTGCAGTCGAGCAGGTCTGGGATTATGCGGTGTCCTTAGTCATGGCTACAATGTGGGTGGACCTTGAGTCGGAGGATGGGGTTGTAATACAGCTGCAACTTGTAGTGTTCTTTCCCACCTCTGAACAGGGCTGGAGAGAAAGATGGTATGCTTCTCAGCGGGAAAGCTTTGATTTGCATCAAGATGCAGGAAATCCTGTTGTTGAGACCTCAGCTTAGAGGTGGGGAAGGCTGGTGAGGCCTTCCATGGAGTATTGTGTCCAGTGTTGACTGCTGCAATTCAAGGAAGGTGTGGACAGATTGGGAAGACTTCTTAGATTTTGAGCTCTACGGCAAGAGTGATGGCCTTGTTCTGTGTCTGTAGTGCAGTAGGATCCTGGCTTATGACAAATTTCTAGATGCTGCAGTAATAGAGGTAGTAATTAATTTGGCAAAGGCTTGTGTGTAGAAGTGATTGAGTGCGGTGACATAACCAGAAGAGCAAAGTTAAGGTTGCCACACAGCCTGTGGTAGTCGTCATAATGTTTGCGGATGGATGAGTAAAGGGCACATGCTGTTCAGCGGATTAACTTTTCATTGCCTTGTTTGTATGGATTTGTCAGGCATGTTTTGTACCTAGCAACCCCACTGCTTTGCATCACTCCTTTTAGTATCAAATAAGCATTTATAAAATGCTTTGAAAAAGAGTTGTGTGTTGGATGGTGTGGGTGAAAGTCTTGCAGAAGATAGAAGTACTGGTGCTGATAGTTATGTGCTCTCAGTCCCCAATGGATCAGGGACATTGGTGGATGGGGAAGAAGGCTGTAATCATTTGCCAAAGGTAGAAGCTATTATTGTCTACCCTGCTGGCTCGGGTAAGGTGCAGTAATAGCCACATGCTCTGAGTTACCTTGGGAAAGCTGCATGTCTCTTCCTTCCTGCTGCTGGTGTGATTTGCATTAGTATAGCAGCCCAAGGTCAGGTATACTGGGGTTGTCTCTCCTAACCCTGTGTATTTTTAAACAAGTTTTGCTAGCTTTAACAGAGTCAGGATCCACCTCTTCATCAAGTTATGAACAGACAGTATTTCTAAAGGTGATCAAACAAGAATGAAATAAGTAGGGCTGCCAAGGCAGGTATGAGCTAAATTCAAAGGCTTTTGAGGTGAATGTAAAATATAGGGAAGAGATCAACCTACACACAAAATTGGGAAGGCATAGAAACTGTTAATGAAAGATCACTGATAGGCAGACTACTTTTGGAGGAAAAAACTGGGACATAAATTCCTTTTTAAGCATATAGTTAAAGTGGTGTTCTAAAATAGTTACTGTTGGGCATCTCCATGATGCATGCAGAGACCTTGTCAAACTGTTTCTGGCACTAGATTCTTCCCCATTGTGTTGTCCCTTAACTGAAGTCTGGGGATCTTGGTGAGCTTTTTATTGATTTGTTTTTAGGGTAACATTGGTACAGGTGGTAGCAAATCCTTTTCTTGCTCTGGGCACTTAATTTTATGGCAGGATGGTACCCTCTAATAGATATTAGGTCGCCTTGAGAGCTCCAATAACAGTGCCTCTTCAACAATTACTGGATCATGTATGGTGGATGCAACTGGTTGGATCATTATTCTCATCAAGTAATCCTCGATGTCTCAGCATTTGGTTGGGAGGAGATATCGGGTGGGGTTTCCCAGGGGTCTGTCCTGGGTCCATTGTTGTTTAATATCTTCACTAAAGGTTTGGCTAATGGGATCGAATTCATGCTGAGCAGAAGTTGGCAGATGAGAATAGGATGGGGTTCAATGTAGGCAAATGCAGGGTGCCACACCTTGGGAGAAGGAATCCACAGCCTGCAGACAGGCTGGGGAGTTCCCCCCCTTTAAAGCACAGAGGCGGAATGGGATCTTGGAGTCATTATTGATTCCAAGATGAACACGAGCCACCAACGCCAGACCGCAGCCAGTAAGACCAGCCATACCTTGTCGTGCATCCAAAGATGCATCTCAAGCCGGTCCAGAGAGGTGATCCTTCCCCTCTATGCGACTTTGGTCAGGATGCAGTTGGAGTACTGCGTCCAGTACTGGGCGCCGCACTTCAAGAGGGATGTGGCCAGCCTGGAGAGGGTTCAGAGGAGGGCCACCCGCTTGGTGACAGGGCAGCAGGGCAGGCCCTACGAGGAGAGAGCGAGGGACCTGAACCTCTTCAGCCTCAGCAAGAGGAGGCTGAGGGGGGACCTGGTAGCTGCCTACAAACTCATCAGGGGAGATCAACAGCAAATAGGTAGAGCCCTTTTCTCCCTAGCACCATCTGGGGTGACAAGGAACAATGGTAATAAGCTGATGGAGAACAGGTTTAGGTTAGAGATCAGAAGACCATTTTTTACAGTTAGGGTGGCCAAAATCTGAAACCAACTTCCCAGGGAAGTTGTTCTTGCCTCTACCTTGGACAAATTCAAGAGGTGGTTGGATGATCACCTGTCTGGGGTCTTGTGAACCCAGCATTCATTCCTGCCTGTGGCAGGGGGTCAGGTAGATTTAGGCTAGATATCAGGAGGCGCTACTTCATGGTCAGGGCGACTAGGATCTGGAACCAACTTCCAAGAGAAGTGGTGCTGGCTCCTACCCTGGGGGTCTTTAAGAGGAGGCTAGATGTACACCTTGCTGGGGTCGCTTGACCCCAGTACCCTTTCCTGCCATGGCAGGGGGTCAGACTTGATGATCCGCTCAGGTCCCTTCCGACCCTAGAAACTATGAAACTATCTGTTCAGGTCCCTCCTGACCCTAGCTACTATGAAACTATACGTTGGGTGGAATCATGGATGCTTCAGAGGGAAGAGCTAGGATCTAGAATGATGTGGAGAAATGGTCCACAGTCAACCAGAAGAGGCTCAGCAAAGACGGGTGCAAAGTCCTGTTTTTGGGACAGAATAGCTGCATGCACAAATACAGGCTGGAGAATGACTGACTGGCTAGGCTGCAGTGTTGCAGAGAGGGACTTGGGGGTGTTAGGGGAGTTGCATGGGACCGACCATAGGCCGAATATGAGCCAACAGTGTGCTCTTATTGTGGTGGTGGTGCAGGGCAGGGGTAGCCAACAGCATCCTGGGTTGTATTAACAGGTATGTTACTTGCAAATTGGGGAAAGTGACTTTTCTGCTCTATTCTGCACTGGTGAGGCCTTACCTGGAGTCATGTCCAGTTTTGGGACTCACTTCAAGAAGGATGTGGACAGTTTGGGAAGAAAAGGATTGGGGCCTGGGAAATGAGACCTATGAGAGGTTGAAAGAACTGGGGTTAGTTAGATGGGGGAAGAGAATAGTGAGTTGGGATTTGATAACTGTCTTCACATATCTGAAGGGTGATTATAGAGACGATGGAGATGGGCTTTTCTCTGTGGCCATACAGGACAAGACTAGGCACAATAGCCTCGAGATGGAGCAGGGGGAATTTCGGCTGGAGATTAGGAGGAACTTTTTCTGACAGTGAGGGTGGTCAGGCATTGGAATGGGCTACCTAGGGAAGTTGTGGAACCTCTATCCTTAGAAACTTTCAAGAGTGGTTAGACAGATACTTAGCTGGGGTGGTTTAGTCAGGAATGCTTCTGCTTTGAAAAGGGTGCTGGACTAGATGACCTTGTGAGGTCCCTTCCAACCTGACTTTCCTATGATCTTTTAAGCCGTGTCTTGTTGAGCAAAAGTCCTGTTCTCTGCATTCTCTCCACCTGCAGTCCCATGTTCAGATTCACACATGAACACCAGCCAGTCTGCCAAGCCTCTGGGAGGCTGTTTTGAAAACTTTTGAATCAAAGTAACTTCTGTAACTCTGCCCTCCCTGCCACTTCTAACCAGCGCATGCAGCCGTGCGTCTAATAGTAACAGACATTGACTCGCTGTGAACTTGCATCCTGTATTATTGCATAGGGGAAAGGGGATGAAACTGGTGATCATTTGTGATAAGGGTCGCTGGCTTGCTGACCTCCACTCTGGTAGGGTTCTTCTGCCCTGGCCTAGGACTGCCACAGATGTATAGTGCACAACTGTTTCTCATCCCAAAAGTGAAGACCTTGCACCCTTGCTGCCTAAAAACATAACTCCTTACCTTGGTGATAGTCACCTGCGTGGAGACCCTTCTGGTTTGTAGAAGGTTGGAAGGCTCCTTCCTTCTCTCCCCATCTTGCATGAAGCAGAGATGGCCTCTGCACTGGCTGAAGCACCTGTGGCAGAAGGAACATCCAGGGAGGAGCGGCTGGGGACCATCATGCTCCCAAAGGAGGAAATGACGTTGTGCATGGCTGTGGTCCTCCCAAGTTGGTCCTTGTGCCCCAGTGCTGTGATACCTACTTGATAGTTCTTGCAGGATACCTGCTTGATGGTCACTTCCTTGTGACCTTCCCCTTGTGCCCTTTTCAGAAGGGAGTGTGTGGTGGCAGATCACTCTGTGTATGACCACTGCTCCCCACCCTTACTACAACAGCTTGGCTACCTGGCCAATACAACACTTTGCTTCCTAGCCCATACCTACAGTCTGAGCTCTCTCCTGTACAGAGTTCCTGTATGTGTATGCTGACTGGCTTGCTCATCCTTTCTCTTTGCAGTGACCTTAATCACAGCACACAATATGTGCAGGGGCTGGCACTCTGCACCCTTGGCTGCATGGGCTCCTCAGAGATGTGCCGAGACCTCGCTGGAGAGGTGGAGAAACTCCTCAAAACCTCCAACTCTTACCTAAGGAAGAAGGTACATGGGGAGCTCCCAGAGTACTCGCTGGCTAAAGTGTGGGCAGACAGCAGACCCTGAAGATAGCTAGTGTGCTAGGTGGTCTGGAGCACTCCAGCTGGATGTTACTTGAACGCCATGCCCTGGCAGAGGTAGAGGCCACAGATCCTCTCCTGAATGCAGAGGAAGGAAAGCCTAGATGGCAGCAGTACAGAACTCCTTACCTCACACATGTGCACCCTCTCACCTGCTGGGATCTTCCCTCTGACCTGGAGGAACGCTCCCAATAGTGTGGGGTAGTTAATTGATTGTCTTCTCCATTGTTGACCTTGATGCCTCCAGTTGCACCAATAAGGTTATCAGTTAAAATGTGGATGCAGATTTGAAGTTTTCTCAAAAGGCCGTTGGGGAAGAGCTCCAAAGACAGTATATATGTGAGCTCTGAATGAGATGGGGAGGCCACTGGCAGGTGCAGAGGCCCTAGCTGGGTAGGCACTGTTCTTGGCTGCCGCTGGGGGAGATACTCAGAGGAGGCTGGAAGCACCACAGGAGCATGTGTAGTGCGAACAGCCTCGTCTCTGACAGGAGGATGTGGAGGATAACCACAGATCATCATCCCCCCCCCCCC